TATATAATCTCGGTTCAAATCCTGCCTCTATCACTTGATGGCTGCATCAGTTTAAGATACTTAACCATCTGTGTCCTAATTTACATGATTGTACAAAAATTGTAACAATAGACTTGAATTCATAGGGTCATTGTGTGGATAAAAAACCATAACTCATAGGTGCTTAGACCATTGGTACGTCTATAGTAAGGAAAAAATAGTGTTAAGAAATATTTTTTTTTTATTTTTTTTTTCAACGTTTATTTATTTTTGGGACAGAGAGAGACAGAGCATGAACGGGGGAGGGGCAGAGAGAGAGGGAGACACAGAATCGGAAACAGGCTCCAGGCTCCGAGCCATCAGCCCAGAGCCTGACGCGGGGCTCGAACTCACAGACCGCGAGATAGTGACCTGGCTGAAGTCAGACGCTTAACCGACTGCGCCACCCAGGCGCCCCAAGAAATATTTTTAAGAGTGGCATTTAGTTTGTCACATTTAAAGGGTAATGAGTGAAATAAATGATCTTAGTAGTGCTCTACACTTTCAGATATATTCTGACTTAAATAATCAGATTCTGATTATTCTAAATAATTCTATTTAGCTAAATTCCTCTAAAATTATTAAAATGTGTTTATTATATAGTTACAGTTGATCTTTATTATTTTGAGAGTCTGTATTTGCAGATTCACCTACCTGCTAAAATGTATTTGTAACCCCAAATCAATACCCCCCACCCCCCACACCCCCCCTAGCCCCCCCACCCCCGTTACCTTTACAGTTACACCCACGACCATGAAACAGATGAGTTTCCAGAGGCACACATTCCCAGCTGAGGTTGAACAAGGAGACACTCTGTCTTTTTGTTTCAGTTCTCATATTGTAACCAAGTGTTCTTTTTGTGGTCAAATAAGTGCCACTTTGGGGTGGGGGGTGGGCATTTGTTTATTTTTGCTTTCTGTCTGTGAGTTTGGTATTTGAAATGCTCTCCAACTGTAATGCTGAAGTGCTGTTTAGTGTCGCTTATTCCAAGAGGCTGTGATGTGCCTTAGGGAGAAAATACATGTGTTAGATAAACTTCATTCTGGCATGAGTTACAGTGCTATTGGGCAAAAGTTCAATGTTAATGTACCAACAATAATATTAAATAGGATGTCTTTAACCAGAAACACACATAAAACAAGGTTACGTATTGACAAGTTGACAAAAATGTTGTAATGAAAGGCTCATAAGAACCTGCACCTGCATTTTCCCTAAGAGCAATGTTACAATATTTGCAAATTCAGTGTTTGTGGCAACTTTATAGAACATGGCTGCTGCTTCAAAAGATGAGAACTGACTGTAGTTTGCATGTCATTGACATGTTAAAAATGTTTAGCAAGTAACTGACTTTACCCAATTTTTTAAATCCTTTTACAAAGACACTTATTTGTAGAGCAATAGCTAATCTGTAGTGATCTAAAAGAAGAGGCTCAGACTGGGGTCTCCCTGGAGAATATATTGCCACACCTCTGCTGCATTTCCACATGATTGAAACAGTATCAAAGTTGCCCTGGGGTTGTAGGGGGCTGGAGGGGTCGGAAATCCATTCTGTGACTTTGTGCCTGGCCTCTTTCTGACAGTTGTTTATTTCTACCACCTCAAAAAAACAATTTTGTATGTTTATTTTTAAAAATTAATTTAAGGGGCACCTGGGTGGCTCAGTCAGTTAAACGTCCGACTCTGACTTTGGCACAGGTCATGATCTTGGGGTCCGTGAGTTCAAGCCCCGTGTCAGGCTCTGTGTTGACCGCTCAGAGCCTGGAGCCTGCTTCAGATTCTGTGTCTCCCTCTCTCTCTGCCCCTCCCCTGTTCACACTCTGTCTCTCTCAAAAATAAAGATTAAAAAAAATTTTTTTAATTGATTTAAATGTTCATGGTAGTGTTATATGCACATTCATTTTCCAAATAGGTGTATAGCTAAAACCAAGACTCTTCCTCCCCAACCTGGAGGAACTGGAGGGAGTTCCTATTCCCTCCAGACTCCCCTGTTCATTGCTTTTCACTATCCTTTCTTTTCTGGAATTTACCTTAATGTTTTTCAGCATTTAGGTAGCTGTAATTCCTTAGTTTTAATTCACAGGTTTAGGTATCCCCTACTGATTTATTCCTAGGTCAGGAGTTAGCACTCTGGTACACTCCAGCCCTACGCCCAATCGTCTTCCTTCTTTTCTCCTCCTACTCTTCCTTCTCCTCCTCTGCATTTTCATTGTGATCCTTCTTCTGTTCTTCCCTGAGGTGTAATTAATGTGAAATGCACAAATCTTCAGTGTTTACTTCTCTGGTTGTATTATTTCACTAGGGCTGCCACAGCAAACACCACAGAGGAGGAAACCTAAATGAACCACAGAGAGTTGCTTTCTCACAGTTCTGGAGGCTGGAGTCCAAGATCAAGGTGTCAGCAAGCTTGTTTCTTCTGAGTCCTCTCTCCTTAACTTGCAAATGGCTCCCTTCCTCCACCATCTTCACATGGACTTATTCTGTGTCTCCGTATTTCCTTTTCTCAGAGGGACACCAGTCATACTGGAGTAGGTCCCACACTGATGACCTCATTTAACCTTTTGATTTCTTCAAACCCCCTACCTCCAAAACACTCACATTCTGAGGTACTGGGAATTAGTATTTCAGCATGTGAATTTCAAGTGGGGGCCCAATTCAACCCTTAGCAATACATTTTGACAATTTTATCTACCCATGTAACAAAAGTGAAAGGAAGATGCAGAAAGTTCCCATCACACCAAAAATCTCCCTCTTTCCATAGCCAATCAGTTCCGTAGCACAGCTGCTGTAGGCAACGGCTAGATTGCTTTCTTTTACTATAAACTCCTTTTGACTCTTCTTGGACTTCATCTAAGTGGAATTATGTAGTATGTGCTCTTTTGGATTTGTGTCTCACCTTGTGTAATCTTAAATCTTTTCAGTTTTTCCTTATCATATTTCTGAGAATTCCATTTTTTTTTCTGTTTTGGAATCTCTGTTTCTTGGATTTCAAATCTTTTTCTCTCAGTTTGCACTCTTCTTTTCCTGAAATTTACCCTCATTAGACTCCTGATGAATATGGAGAGATATCTTTGAAACCATGTATTTCTGAAACATCCCTATACTTATATAAGCATATATTCTTATACTTGAGTTATTTTTCCTTATGCTTGATAACATTTGTATAGCCTTGGAATTCTAGGTTTAAAATACTTTAGGAATAGAATTTTATAAGTATTCTTCTATTGTTTTCTAACTTCGAATGTTGTTGAGAAATCTTTCTCCTTACCATTTTTACTTTTTATGTGACCTGCTTTCTTTCTTCCATTCTGGAAGATTTCTATCCTCTCTCCCCCAGGAGGCTCTAGTATTTCACAGTAATGTACCTTAATGTAGTTCTTGTTCATGTATTGTGTCAGAAAATCCATAATCCCTTTCAGACTAAAGTCTCAAATCTTCCAGTTCTGCAAGGTTTTTACTGCAGGAAAGAGTTCTGGTTTTTGTTTTGGTTCCTTGCTAATTTTCTGCCTTCTATTTTTTTTTATTTTCATTATTTCATCTTATTAGTTGGATATTGGAAATTATAGACTAAACTTCCAATTTCTTATCTTTTTTCCCCCAAATTTCTGTGATCATCTTTCTATGATCATCTTCCCCCCTCCCCTGGAATTTTACAAGATTTCTTTCCATGCATCTTCCAGGTAATTTATTGAATATTTAACTGGTTAAACCAACCTATAAATGTCATAATATTTTAAAAGAATCTTTCATTTTTCCCATATTTCTATTCCTTTCACAGATGTAATATCTTATCTTAGATTATCTAAATATTAATGACAGTTTTTGGGATACTTTTTCTACTCTAAGCATAATGTTGTCTCCTTCAACGGCCATAATATTGTGGGTTTTTTTTTTAAGTTTATGTATTTATTTTGACAGAGGGAGAGAGAGAGAGAGAGAGTGTACAAACAAGGAGGCACAGAGAGAGATGGAGAGAGAGAATCCCAAGCAGGTTCTGGGGCTTGATTGTATTTTTTCCTATTTTATACTAAAAGCTTTTTAAAACAAAATGTCTTGTAGTCTTACAGTGTTGGTTAACATTAAAATGAAATATGTACTAAAAAGCTGATTCCAAAGTGCATGAGTGGATTAAGTGGGAGCCTCATTATTGGGGCATTAATTAGAAACCTGGCTACTGTTTTCTCTAGGGCCAAACTTACAATTTTCTCTAGAGAATTATTATTTGGTATTTGCCTGGGCAATATACATCTGGTTGTCATTGCATTGAACACAGATGATGAAAGAAGACTTATTCTCTTCGACTTAGTAACCCTTGCCCTCATCTGTACTCTCTTCTGTGCCTGATATCTCTGAATCTGTGGACTCTGTTTCAGTGTCCCTAAAGGATAAAACTGCCAGTGACTCCAAGGACACTGAGGGTTAGTAGATTGATTTTCCTAGATGTGGGTATGACTTTCAACCCATCTTTTATTTCAACACCATGCTTTAGTCTTGTCTTTCAAGGTATTTAGGACGCAACAATTTCTAGCCCTCCCTGAATTTTGTCATGGAAATCACCTTGTTATTCTTTAGTATCTCTTAGGGAGTAATTTAGGTTTCATCTTTCTCCTTTGGCTCAGCCACCACACTTCCCTCGGTTTGCGTCTCTTAAATATTTGTTAACATCTGTCATCCTTAAGACTACTATTCTCTATTTCCTTATGGTTTTTTACTCTTAAGAACATTTTACTGTCATTTTAGTGGCATTTACAAAGGAGAGGTGATCATGCACATAATCAATCAAATGAATTGTGTATTTTTGTCAAAATCATACAAAAAGGGACACTGTCAAATTGTAAAAATGGATTTAATTTGGTTATAGGGGCTAATCCCTAGCACTTCTTGCCTCTCTGTTTTATTCCTACTTAAGTTGGGGTCATTTCTTTGACCCTGCTCTGTTGCCCTTACTTTCTCCAATGTTTTAATTTACATCTTTTATTTTGCAGAGTATCAAAGTAAGCTGGCTGCCTCCTCCATCAGGAACACAAAATGGATTTATTACCGGCTATAAAATTCGACACAGAAAGACGACCCGCAGGGGTGAGATGGAAACATTGGAGCCAAACAACCTCTGGTACCTGTTCACAGGTCAGTGTTCACATAGCGCAGTCTTGCAAGGTTTTTATGAATTAAATGCTTTAGGAATAAAATATGCTCTCACTTCAAGGAAACATTCTTTTTTGTTTGTTTTGTTTTTTCCTGACAGGTGACATCTATTGGTCTGAACAAGAATAACCTTTATATTTTTAACGATATCTTTGTAATGCTTTCAGAACATATTATGGTCCTGGATCATACTCTTATAAATGTATCATAGATCTTTTAATCCGTATTAGTTTCTCAGCATTGCTTATTCAACAGCAGCCCCTCTGTCAAATAACTTTTAACTTTTTAACTAGTAACTTTAAAAAGCTATCTAATCAGGGGTTCCTGGGTGGCTCAGTAGGCTAAGCATCCTACTTCAGCTCAGGTCATGATCTCTTGGTTGGTGAGTTTGAGCCCTGCATCAGGCTCTCTGCTATCAGCATGAAGCCCACTTTGGATCCTCTGTCTCCCTGTCTCTGCCACTCCCCACTCACTCTCTCTCTCTTTCTCTCTCTCTCAAAAATAAATAAACATTTTTAAAAAGTCATCTAATCAAATGGTTCCAAGTTTAAGTCACTTTGATCCCTTTCCGCCTAATCTCCAGTGGTGAGAATGGGGCTGGAAAATGTGGAGAGGGTAGTTTAGGAAATAAACAGATTATTCTACTTTCCATAAACATAAAAGTAAATTCACTTTTGTAGCAATATTGGTGGAATTCATAGTAGGTCAAGCTTCTTTATGACAACTGGAGTATTCCATGCAGTTTTCCATGCAATATTTAGAGAATGTGTTTTATTTTACAAAATGAATAATCATATATATTTTTTTAACTATTGGAACTATCATGTCCATCCAGGTTCCTGGAAAACAGTCTGAGATATGCTTTCAAGGCAATGCCTCTGGGGGTGCAAGCCCAAGAAAGCACGCATGAGGAAACAAAGAAAGGGACCAGGGAAGGAGAGAAATCTTTCACAGTGGCTATCATTGAGCTGGCTACAAGTTTAGAGCAAACACAGAGTTTGTTCAGCCTCATGGGGTGTCTCCTGAGAGGCCGCATGAAGTACTATATATCATAGGCAGTGGCTGGATAGGAAGTATGAGCAGTTCCTCTCTTGCCTATAATTGGTCTAAATCTGTAGATAGGCTGTTATCCATTCTATACCTGCAGACAGCACCTGAGAAGCCAGAGCATCTGGCGAGTATGCAAACATAGAATTCTCTCTGTGTCAGTAAGTCCTTTATGAGGTGGTGGCTTGGTCTAGGGTAGCACCAGTAAGTACTTAGGAGGGCTTTATAGCTCTAAGGAGAGTGTGAACTATTGCCTGGGGCTTGGGAGGCAAAGCATGATATAGCAGAGGCTCCTGGTAAGGATTGGGAGGCAAAGTTGAGCAAATCTGGAGTGGCACATAAAAAGGGTCCTGGAAAATACACAAACTGAACTCTTAACTTACACCTAATGGATAATATAAACTATCACTGCAAATGAGGAAAAAAGAAAGTAATCCCTTATTTATTTCTTTCTCTATACCATGTGCTCAGTAAATTTCCATTTGAAATCATAGTTTGTTACACACACACACACACACACACACACACACACACACACACATTTTAAGCTACATTTAAGCTACATTTAAGTCCGCATTCTGCAACTTGATCAAAACCTGTTTTCCCCCTCAGGTTTGTTGTTGTTGTTGTTGTTGCTGCTGCTGCTGCTGCTATTGGTGTTTGGTTTTTGGTTTTCGATGTGTTTTTCTTGTCTCTTGTGCCTATAAAATTTTAGCATAATGGTGAAAGTGCTTCCAAGTAGGTTGTCAAAAATCACATTACTCGTTTTATATCCGGACAAAAATCTCTCAGACAAGTATTATTGCCTCTAAGAGGAAGTTATGGCACTCTACCACATCATTTAAAAAGCTTAAGAAAAGCCGAGATCTTATGTCTTCTTTCCTGATGAAATTATGGGAAGAAGGTAAAAATAAATGAAGTGAGGCATATGTGCTCAGTGTGATAGTTGGTGTAACCTGTAGTTTATTTTGACAGAAATCACCAACATTGGAAAAAAAGTCTTGCTGAAAAAATTTTAATAGAATTCTTAAGATGTAATAGATGAAGAGTCTCTAAGGATAATTATATCAAAGACTTTTTCACCCCTGGTTTTACTGAGGTATTATTGTCACATACCACCGTATAAGTTTAAGGTATACAACTTAATGGCCTCACTTGTGTTCACTGTGAGATGATTAACGCTGACAGTTTAGTCAGCAGCCATGATCTCATATAGATACAATTTAAAAAAAGAAAAAAAAGTCCTTATGATGAGAACTCAGGATCCACTTTCTTAAAATTTTCATCTATATCATACAAAATGTGGAATGCTTCACGAATTTGCAAGCCATCCTTCTGCATGGGTCCTGCTGATCTCTTTATCACTCCGATTTTAGTATATGTGCTGTGGGAACAAGCACCAAGCCTTACTTTTTTAAAATAGATGATGGTATTTGAAGCCCTGAAATCTTTTTTTTAAGTTATTTCCTTCTCAGATGAAAAAGCTTAAAAATATAAAATAACCTTTTTATACAGTAATTCATTGAAAGATGAGTGTTCCAATGGAAAAGCTTAGGATTGGATATTCAATTTATGGAACTATAAATAGCCAAGATGCATGAAACAATGTTCAAGCTCATTAGTAGAGAAATGCAAATTAAAACAAAAATGAGTTAACATTTTCTTTGGATTAAAGTAATAAAGATATAAGTGAATGATGATACCCTGTTCTGGAAAGCATATGGGAGACATAATTAATATTCATATACTGCTGATTCTAGAATCTCTCTGGAAAGCAATGTGTAGATATTTGTTATACACAGGTGTATATACGTGTGTGTGTGTGTGTGTGTGTGTGTGTGTGTGAGAGAGAGAGAGAGAGAGAGAGAGCAAGAGAGAGAGAGAGAGAAAGAGGGAAGGATCTTTACAGATATATGATCTATGTTTTCTACTAGGAATTTATTCCAATTATGCAGCCATATTTTCTGCAAATTTTTTCACTATAAACAGGTTCATTGCACTGTTACTTTAATAGAAAATTTTAAGGAAAAAAATACCCCAAGCATCCAAATATAGGCAGCTACTTAGAAAATTTTGTCAAAATCATATCAAGGAATACTGCTTACCTAATGAAAATGATAAATACTAAATCAAATGTTAATTATTTCAAACATGATTCAATGAATAACTCAACTTTAAATCAATATTAGTGTGTGAAGTTGATATTTATAAATAAAATATGAATTTGTAGGAAAATATTTAGAGTAATATATATACCAGAATATTGATGGTGATTGTTATTTACATTTGTAACAACAATAAAATATGTATTTTAAAATTATGTATATAACATGAAGAACAAAAAGGCAAGACCCTAATGCCATATTATGACTTTTGGTCACCAAAATTGAAAATTCCTACCACTAAAGCTAACTCTATGGCCACTGAACAGCTAAAAGGCAAGTGGCCCAGAAAATAAATGAAGAATCGTAGCCACCTGGCCAAAAGAAACTGCTGCTGTGAATTCTTTAGTATTTACGGTATTTTTGGCAAATGGGATTTAACACATTCAGCTCAGTAGTATCAAACCAAGATTCTGGCTCTCTAAATAGACAAACTTTTAGGATTTTCTCTCTAAAGAAGTGAAATTATTAAAGAAGAAAAAAAAAAGCCAGAAGTCTGAAATAAAGGTGTTGGCAACATTGGTTCCTTGTGGAGGTCCTGAGAGAAAACTCATCCATGTTTCTCTCCTAACCTCTGGAATTTTCTGGCAATCCTTGACATTCCTTGGCCTGTAGTTATGCTGCTCCTATCTCTACACCACCTTCTTCTGTTGCCTGTCTGTGTTCTCTCCTCTTCTTATAAGGGCACGCATCATGGATAAACCCCACTCTAAATCCAGGATGGTTTCATCTCAAGATCCTTAACTATTCATATTTATAAAGATCCTATTTCCAAGTGAGATCATGTTCTGAAGTTCCAGGTATTCAGGAGTTTTGAAGCAGACACTATTAAACTTGCTGACAGATACCTTTCATTTTCCCTCTCAAGAACAATCATTTTTAATTGTATTATCTAATGAACTTTATTCAAAAATAAATAATTCAGTCCTACATTTTTATTCATCTAAAATATATGGGACAATTAGATCTTCTAATCAGCATGAGCTATAACCCCTTACCACTCTGGTTTAATACCATTCCGGCCAAAAGCAAAGAAATAGGATGAATTAATTAGCTTGTTATTGGAATAGCTCACAAATGCCCCTTCCCATCTTTATAGATTTCTAGGAATCTGGACTCAAATTTGAATTCCTCATTCATACTGTTCTTTCTTCATTTCAACAATTACAAAATGAATTTGGGAAGACAAACAATCTGGGCAGTTATATTTGTAAGTGTACCTGATATTTATGGTAAAAACAAAAGTCACACAGACTCCATTCTTAAATTGAAATGAAGAAATAAAAACTGCCAGATAATAGCCTCATATCTATAAAACATTAAAAACAAGTTGTATAGAGTCTCTGCCTTCCTATCCCCTGATCTGTGACCCAACTTCAGTAATGCCTATTGCATTGCTAGATATTGTGGGAGTGTTTTCAGTGGTAGAGAGCACAGGTTTTGACTTGTTCCCAGAATATATTTATTTAGTAATGTATGCAATTTCTAGTTTACAAAATAATTGATTTTCTGTATGAATCTGCAGCACTTTAGAATGTACAAGACTTGACCCTATGTTTCCAATACCTATATGGTACGTGGATATATTGATTTGTCTGTTAAAAACTTGGAAATGCTAGAATGCTTCATTTGGATGACATAAATATTCAGGTGTAGAGACTCAAACTTGTTTTTTACAGTCCTCTGTTAGACAGGTGTTTTTTTGTTGTGTGTGTTTTTTACCAAGATAATGAGACATCTGCAATAACATAGTAATTCAGAGTTATAATAAGG